CTGGCTCTTCTCCGAGAAGAAATATATTAAAAGAAGATAGTTTTCATTTTTAATTTTTAACATATTTGCTAATAAAAGATAAAAAAAAGGTTTTCATTTTTGATTTTAATAAATTGAACCCCGGAGTTCGAGCCAGCTAACTAAATATTTAATAAATATTTAATAATGGAAAGGTAAGGAAAGGAAACGAGCGTTAAACAATAAATATATATATCATCTACATATAAATATAAATATTAAAAAAAAGGCACCAATAAATTTTACTTCATTTTGTTATATGTTATAGGAGAGTTTATTTAAAGCCATAGCTAAGATAAATATAGCGCTAGCTGCGGAGGCCTGCGGCTAAACACAAGATCTAAGTGTAATTTGGGCTTAGATATTTATAAATTAAATTAAATTAATTTTATTGAACATACTTAACTATTATAATTTAAGGAAATCCTCGCAGCGCTAGGAATCAAGTAACAGATAAATAAGGTCTCATAAAAAATTCAATTCGAACATATATCTAAAGCTTCTACAACACTAAGGAATTGCGCATGGGAAACGACTGAACGATCATTGGACAATGGATTACCCATCATCAGCATCAGCTTGGCTCAGCTGCCAACTGATCGTGCTGATCTATAGTATAAACGCACAGGAATTAACAATAAATGCCAGCATAATCGGCTCATGTCATGCCCATTACGGGTTGCATCCACCCACAAGCTGCAATCGGCTGCTGGCATCGATCGCGCGCTCCAAGTGATTCCCAGATCTGGCACACAGATCGAAGCGTAAAATCGAGTGCAATAAACTAGCCGGGCAGCTCAGCAAGTGCCCAACTGTTTTGAATCAACTCAAAAATTGGCCGGCAACAAAGCTGCGACACGCTCGCTAAACGGCCCGAACCGGGTCTGGAGACCAGAGCAGCTCTTCGACGCGAGCTGCGCATGATCGCTGCGATGATCGGCGGATGCACAGCAGTTGGGCATTTTGGCAGGCAGCAGCGGGACCTGGTTCGGGCTCAAGTTGAAGCGTAGCGGAACTAGCTGCATTTTTGCACGGCGCATTAGCAGGCAGGCAGGCAGCAACAACAAGAAGAAGACAAACATTATGGCCCAAACTGGGACCGAGGCAACAGGGTACCGAAGTGTTGCAAATTTTTATTTGGAAGCAATTTTCACACCCTGTGCGACATCACGGCAGAGGCCCGAGGTCCGAGCGAACTGCAGGACATGCGCTGCTGCGCTGCTGCCGCTGACAGGACACAGCGTGGCGAATGCAACTGTTGACAACTTCATGGAGCGTTTTTGTGGACAGTTGCTGCAACTGATGGCAAATGATGCCAAATGATTGCAGACCATATAAATTTCGATTGTAGACGATCGCCAAGCTGAACGTGCAACCAGGTAAACGTGCAACATGGCCCGTACACGCCTACCCCCCAGGACAGAGAGAGAGAGGGAGAGGCGAGGGCCCGGCAAGAGTCAGCATTTTAGTTGCGCTTACCCAGCGATTATTTGCAATTATGAGCCGAGATTTTACAGTTAACAGCGACGCCTTCTGCCAGCTCTGGCTCTGCAGCCGTAACTCCCACTGGAATATGTTAATTTCCAACACGTTGACAGTTTGACTTTGTGACTTGTCTCATAATCACCTGCAATATGGAATGTAACCAAGACTTGACCTTGCCCAAAAACAGCCCAAGGACAACGCTGCCTTTGTTTAGCTGACCTTCAGGGTCGAGAGCTGTGCCTCGGGGGGTTTGTGGGCGCTGTGTGGTTGCTTGTGTCTTGTGTTTTGCTTGTTGTGGCGTTGCTTTGGTTGCTTTGGTTGCTGCTGCTGCTGCTGCTGCCGCCCCTGCTGTTGACCTTAGAAATTTGATGGATTACTTTCCCGTTGCCAGTCAAACTGAAGGTCGCGCCATTCGCCACGTCTCGTTGCGGCTAACCATATCGCATGGTAATACCAATTTATATAGCCTTCATTATGGCCAAATTAAAACGGCTCATCGGCCATTACTCAGCGACCAAATTGCGCGCCTTTATGAGCACACACACACACACACAGACAGATCGAAGATCGCGCATATAGCATATAGCGTGTAGCGTATTGCGGACTACCTACAGCGGTTTTTATGATTTGTTTACACGGCTGCCCCTGCAGTTGGCAGTTGCAGCTCGGTTCGGTGTGTGTTCAGTTTTTAAGGCAAAGACTATGTTTGAGTCTCGGTTCTCATCGTTTGGATTTTCCGCAGCAATAAAATTAATAAGAACGCGCTAATTTTGCAGCTCCGGCCCCCGCCCAGCCACGTCTACGTCTCCGTCCAGGTTAACGTCCACGGCTGTTGCCTAAGCAAATAGATCGCACTCACTCGTCTAACTCTTTTCCTGTCCCCTGTCCCACTGCCAGTTCCAGACTGTGCCAATATTTGCACAGGCTGCGGCCTCAGCTGGAACGCCATTTTGTGTGCCTTCCAGGCGCGCTTTAATGACATTTACGATCGCCCGAGGATCGAGTTGTGAGCAGCAGCAGCAGCAGCAGCAGCGACATCAGCAGCCGCCTTAAGCCCGCAAATAATGGCCCATTAATAGCTTGACATAATCTTTAAAAATACATTTAATTCATTGAGGATGCAACGACAGCAACAACAATACGCGCGCCAGAACGCAACGGCAATATGGGGAAATGAATAAGCTAAACGGGCATCTTTCCATTCACTCCGCACATCTGCTGTAAGTGCAAGCGGGCGCGCGCATGCCCAAAATGCAGTCGACTGTCCAATTAGTTGGCGCAGCCAAAGTAGAAACACGGAAAGAGCAAGAAAAAGGTGAGCAGCGCATGATTGCGCGTGTGCGCGTGTGTGTGTGAGAGAGTGTGAGTGCGTGTGAGCAAAGAGCATGAGTATTTAGTTGGCTCTGTATATAGCGCAGCGCGCACTCCGAAAATATATTTACTCCGAATAGCAAAGCGAATGGAAAATTTGCTTCTCGAACAATGCACAACTGAAATAGGAATAACGAATATAAAATAAATCAAATAAATTAGATAAATTAACAAATTATTTTAATAAATAGTATTAACAAAAGTATGACTAAAATAATATATATTTAACAAAAATGTTATTTATTTAATCTTTTTTAAAATTTGAATATTAGTCTTATTTATAAACCGATTAAAGAATAAATGTATATTAAGGCATACTTGAATCAATTTGAATAAACAGGAACTTTATTTTATTATTTCTTAAACAGAATTTGGTATAATTCTTTTTTGGTCTAAGCGTTGTGCATATGAGCACGTTAATTCAGATTCAAAAATTGGGTAATATATAATATATATATATATGTTTTTTAATAAATAAATAACATTTACAAGCTTTACAAATATAAGACAAAAATTAAAGTAAAATCCTAAATATCTGAAAGTAAAAAGTAAAATTAAATATTGCTTATAATGAAATATACATATAATAAAAATTGATATATTTGTGATAATGTGGTGCAAATTTTTCTGCATTTGACTTAAGATCTTGATGAAATATTGTGTGGCTTAATGTCTAGGACTGAATTCTAGCGGATGTATAAAAAGGAATTAATGGGAAAATTAATAAGAATATCAAATTTCGCCCCAGTAATGAATTTTCCCATAAATGCACTTTATATCTTAATATTGGAAAAAGAAAACAATTAAAATTAACAATAAGCAGGCATTAAAGTGATATTACGTATACGTAGTTTGAAGTATTTTAATGCTGTTAAGTCTAACTGTTTATACACTTAACGAATAATATGCAATATCAATGTTAAATTCAACCGAAATGTTATTCGAATAGGGTTCTATGATTTGCACTGAATGGGCCAGCCTAGGCTATCTTCACTGTTATACACATACATATATTTTCTGCTTTTAAGATAATAATGTTTGACTACAGTCTAAACAAAATAGCAATAATAATAATATTTATAGTGGCAATAAACATAAAATAATATTGCAAAGCACACATGTTCCGTAACAAAACATAAACTAAGTATAGCCCAGAGCTGTTGATATGCTAATTTACCGTTATTGATGCTTGTATCAAATTGTGGAAAATAAGTGTAATTAAATGCAGTTGGCGCACCCATAAATTGCAAACTCAACTAAAATAAATTCCAAAAATCTCGCAAAACGATCGCACCGCTGTGATACCGAAAAATGCACTCGCAATAATTTCCAATATTTCCGCCATTTCTTATTGGGCGCAGGCAGTCTATATACCACACACACACAATACTAATTCAACTGCCCACACATATATAGAGCGCCGCACACACAGTTACACGGCAGCTGCTCCAAGCGTTCGTCTTTCGTTTCTTATTTCCACGCTAGCTGCACTCTTCACACACACGCTGAATCAGAGCCGAGTGCGACAAGCACCGAATCGCTCCTCCTCCACGATCGTTGATCGTTCGACGGGCAGCAGAGCAACAGCAATAGAAACGGCAACACCAGCTGGAAATATGTGCATGAAAAACCTAGTGAAACACGCTGATATTGCCAGCAAATGATTTCTATGAGAAAAATTGGAGTTTAAAAACATTTGAATTGCATTTTGAAACCCATTTTAATAATAAAATGAATATTTTAATTATTTTAAGCCTATTTAAACGATTTGTAGACATAATGTATTTAATAAAAGACAATACTATATATTACTTAAAAATTAAAAATGTTATTATTTGATTTTAATTTGCTAAACTAAAAAATGTATTTAAAAATTAAAAGTCTTTGAGCTTCAAAATGCGTTTTTATCTAGTGGAGTAACTTTGGTTAGCATTTCCTGTTGGGTTGCAGCCCATTTTACATGCGAACACGAAGCGAGAGCTCGGCAATTCGTGTGACGACGACGACGTCGGCGACGTCGGCAACGGCGACTGCGACTGTCATGTCGAGGCTCGAGCCTTTCGAGTCTCTGGTTGGTTGTCTTCGATCTGTTTGTTGGCTGTGACTCTCGTCCGTCAGTCGCTCATTCGCCTCTCGTATTCGCTGTCGTCAACACACGCGCACGCAACGGCAACGGCAGCTGAACAGGTTTCAAAAAAAATCTATTTGTCGAGTCGAGAGACTCGATCGGTCCAGGTAAAAGAACGCGCCGTGTGTTTCAGTCAAGCGTTGGCACTGAACCGGGTAACAATCTTTCACTCCTCCGCTCCGGCACCGACTCTACGTACAAAATACTTACGTCGCGTCCACTCTCCCAACAGTGTAGAGCAAATGGAAAGTGCTTAGAGTTCGAGTTCATCTTCATTCATAAAACTGTTTCAAGTTTTTTACATGTGAAACAAACACAAACAACACAAGTGCCGAGCCGTGTGATCAAGCTATAATATAATATAGCAAATCGATAAGCTAAATTAATACGATGCACAACAAATCCAAATCAATATCAGTGCGTATGCTAATGATGATTATGCCTCATTTATAGTGCGCTAATTGAACGTGAAATTGCCATAAAAAAATAGCCAGGCCAAATGCCAAATGCCAAACTAAACAAACCCAGCAATTGACAAGCGAATCTAAGAATATAATCAAAAATCAAAATAGCAAATAAAATAAAACTGACTAACTGGTCAGCTCTAGTATACCCAACCGTATCAACAATAATATTTGTGTGAGAAAAAAATAAAAAACAAAATCAAAAAACTTTATCATGGATTTAAGTTATATATTTATCGTCTGCCTGCTGGCGCTATGCAGCGCCGACGCCGAAAGCAAACAGAAGTCGGGCAGAGGCCGAGGCTCCATGTGGTGGTAAGTAGCATCATGAAAATCCAAGGGAGACACACACATTTGACATTGAAAACGGGCAGCGAGCAGCTGATGTGATGCGCCCACGCAACATTTGCATAAATCAACAAAATTCCGCGGGGGGACAAACAGTTCAGGCAATTAGCGAGCGCCCGAGAAGAACAAGCGCAAACAGGCGACGGCCCAGCGCCGAGCGATGCGAGAGCCAAAGCCAAAGCCAAAGCCAAAAGTCACAGCCAAACAAAAGCAACAGCCAACTTTTGTGGCACAGGCACGCGCCAGCCGCTGCAACTGTTGAGAGAGCCACGAAAATTAACGCAACAGCTGAAACAAAATTTTCCCAGGCAAAAGCCAAAAGATGCCAAAAGGTCTTGGCTTTAATGTGACCAAATCTGTGGCTGTGCTTGTGCAGCACGCACAATGCGGAAGCCACAAAATGCAGCAGCAGCAGCAACTTTTTGTCTGATGAAAGCAATTAAAAATTCTAAGCGCGCATTCAACTTTTACCCCAAGGGGAAACGCGGTGGTATGTGCCAGTGTGTGTGCGTGTGCGTGTGTGTGGATGACACAGTTAATGTTGGCCAAGACATGATCAAAGTGTGCTAAGAATACGTTTTGTCTGCTGCGACGACAAATGCAACTGCTGCTGCAGCTGCGCTGCCCAAATCAAGTTCGTTGCCTAAGTCTTTTGATTTGCGCATAAAATTTGGCCCGAGTTCGATTCGAGTTCAAAGCACACACAAATGCGTGCCGTAATAACTTTTTATAACGGCATAAATTTCGCTATAAAGAACCGAAAGCAAACAAACAAAAAATTGTATAAAATGCTGCCTGTTTTTTTCTTTCGTGTTTTTTCCTGCTGTGTTTTTTCTGCTGCTGCGGCGATCGCATAAATCTTTTGCCATTGATTTTAATCCGCCTGGGAATCGCATCGATTGCGCTCTGCCGTCGCCTGTCGTTCCTTTTGTTTTAATCGAGTGTTTTTTGTTACACTTTCGTTTTGTTGTTCAGCATTACGCAATTGTTTAAAGGCAGCAACAAATAAATAAATATAAATAAAAAAAAACAGAAAACAATGCACGCAAAAATATTAACTTTCCCACCGCAATCAACGGCCAATTGAATTGGCAATTAATTTGCATACGCGCCGCTGTCAATAAACATTTGCTTATATTTATTTATTGTTGCTAAACACAGAGCACAACAACAACAACAACAACAACAACTTGTAACGAGAGCAACAACTGTAGCGAGAAATATGCTAAAGTATATACTATAACAGCTCGCTATATTCGTATCTATTATAAATGAAAACATTTTTCTGGGCAAGGCCGTTTGACAGAAATAAAGAAAATAAAAGATGACAGCAAATGGAAGCGAGTGCCGACAAGTGTCATCAAATATTTGTCAGTGTATGGGGTTGTGCTTGTGTGTGTGTGTGTGTTTGTGTGTGCTGCATGCATGAGTAACGCCGGCAATTGACGTGCTCAACAAAAAGGAAAAGCCGCAAGTGAAAAACCAAGAACAACAACAACAACAACACACACACAAACAACTCAACTCAAGTCAAGTGGAAATAAACATAATGCCAAAAAAGAAAAACAAAAATAACAGAAAAACCAAAAACAAAAACAAATACAAATAGAAATATAATGAAAATGTTGATCCGTCTTTGCGGCCTTTTCGTTGTGCCCTGTGCGTGCGTGTCCAGCTGCTCGAGATTTTCCCCCTGCCCCTGTCCCTGTGCCTGTCCCCGCCCCGCCCCGCGTACCACTTGTAATTAGGCGCAAAAACCAAGTCAAGCATTAAATAGTCTTGACACGCCCCCACGCCTCTCTCTCTCACTCGCCCTCTCTCCGTGTGTGTTAGCTCTATTAATTTGTGCCGTTTACCTTCTCTTCTCTGCCTCCCCCCGAACAGGGGCATCGCCAAGGTCGGCGAACCCAACAACATTTCACCCATCAGCACGGGCATCATGTACATGGATCCCGCCATACACTCGACGCTGCGCCGCAAGCAGCGACGCCTGGTCCGCGACAATCCCGGCGTGCTCGGCGCCCTGGTCAAGGGCGCCAACATGGCCATCAGCGAGTGCCAGCACCAGTTCCGCAATCGTCGCTGGAACTGCTCGACGCGCAACTTTCTGCGCGGCAAGAATCTGTTTGGCAAAATCGTCGATCGAGGTGAGTACAAAAAGAGTTTATATGTTTTCAAATTATATATATATACATATGGCAAGATCTGTGAAAAATATAGAAAATCGTAGCTATAAAACATTATATCCCTCTTTGGTCATTTGCATTGGGTTCAGCATATACAAACTGAGAAATTATTAGAGAACACAACCAAATAATATTTATATTAATTCAGTTTGAGCTCTGTAATATTATTTAAATCTATTTGTGAATAGTAAATGTTATTTAATATATACATTTTGTATTATAGCTATTTAAAAATCTTTTAAATGGCTAATTTTGCAAAATCTTAAAATTAATTTATATATAAACAAAAAAGGCGTTCATATTAAGAAAGCAAATCACAAAATTTAAAAGAGATACTTTATTTACATTTTAAAATATTTTTTGATATAACAATAATGGTTGTCCCATTGGTAAAAGAAACTATCGACTATCCTGACCTGCGGATTTCTTGATATAGTAGGACATAAAAATATCGATAAAATTGTATTAATATATAGAAAACCCCATTCAAAAACATTTATTTATAAAGGCCTGTTCCTTTGATTTTCTTACCTGCTGATTCCTTGATATAATATTCATATAATTAAAAAAAATGTTTCATTTTCCGATATTGATATACCAAAAAAATCGAAATAATTGTATTGATATACATATATAGAAGCCATATTAATAACATCATACTCGCCATTATGAATGACTGTTCCATTAGCAAAGAACAAAGAAAAAGTTATATACTTCGCTTACCTGCCGATTCCTTGATATTATTTACACATAAATACATATATCAATTCTGTCTGAACTCTCCATCATAATTAGCCAGCTGTGATATTTCATAGCATTTAATCAGCTTGGAATCTGTCGCCCATTGACTGGGCCAGATCTGGGCTACCCCTCGTGAAATATGATATGTGATCTGTCCGCCCCCCTACCCCTGCCCCTCCGCGGCGACATAGAATTTGTTGTCAACGCCCCTGAGCGCTGCAACTGGCAATTGCACAAATTGATTTGGTTTCAGTTTTTGTACTTTACTTTACTTTTGGGCACTCGCTGATGTCTTGTTGTGGTTCTTATTTATGTTGTTGAATGTCATGTGTGTGTGGGTTGCATGTTTGTTGTTGCTGTAATACGATCGGGCACTTGCCGCAACATTGTTGGAGACTGTGCCACATGTTGGGCCACTTTCGCTGTCGCGCGGAACAATGGAATCGCCTTGTTGCGCTTGTCTGCGGCTGCACTTGCTCCACTTGCGTTTCAGCATGTTTATGCTAATTGCCGCAGGTTGGCAGCACCAGAGAGACCTGAGCCAGCTCTGGTCTCTGGTCTCTCGCATTCAAATCAATCAAAAGTGCTTGTTTGTTCGCCCGCTGCGACAGTTGCCGAGGAGTAGTTTTTAGTTCCATGTCCCAAGCGACCATCTGAGCAGCACGGGCAACACTTTTTCAGCGCTCCCCGTCGTCGTCCGTCTGGGATCGTTCCCGTGCCCATTCCCGCTGCTCGCTGCCCGTTCCCGCTGCCCGCTGCCTGTTGTCAACAATAATTTTCATATAAATGTAAACAGGCAGCAGAACCCGCGGCTCTTCTTGTGAATTGCTTTTGGCAAAAACTTCTGACCTGCCGTTTTATTAGCTACTGTCTGTGCTACCTGGCACACATTACGATACGATACGATATATTCCCATAGAGTTCGCCCTACCTCCACCTCCTCCTCTAGGTGGGCGTGTGCTGTGCGTCGCGTGCGTCTGCGCCGAGACCTTTCACTCGTCGCCAGCTGACTTTTATAGTCCGGCTCTTGACCTTATCAACATCCTTTTTATGAGTTGCACTCTCTTGACATTTTATGGATTGTCGAATTGTTGGATTGTTGGATTATTGGACTGGTGACAGCTTTTTATCGCAGCACTTTCATCGCACAACCTTTTCCTTTTTTGGTCTTATATACATTTAATGTGCCCTTGGCCCTAATTAACACCTAGGCCATTAACACTTGGGGTTGCACCGCACAGTGGCTCTCAAACTGTGCGTTAATACCCTGGAGACAGCAGGGATCACCCTGTCAGGTCCAGCCAGCGGGGCACTTTATTTGTATTTGTATTTGTATTTATATTTTTTGTGTGTTGTCTGAAAATGAAGTCAACTGAGGGCGAAGACAACTCAACTCAACTCAACTCAGTTCAGCTCAGCTCAGCTCGACCCAACTAACTTGTTTTCTAATTGGTGACACCTTGTCAATTTGGCACGCCACACGCTTTAACAGGCCGACTCGATTAGTTGCCTAGGGTATTATGTGCTCTTGAGCTGATTTTTTTCTTCTCTCTGTTGCCTTCTTCTTTTTTGCGCATTCTAATCATGAAGGATGACGAATGGCAGCCACCCCAAGCTGCTGCCAGTGGCTGCCTGTGGCTTTTATATCAATGTCTAAACTATTCCGGGAACACAGAGACACAGACACAGGCATGGTCCTTTGAGAGGCATCCTTGCTAAGCAGCTTAGCTGAACTGTTGAGCTACCTGAACAGGGGCAAGACGCAGAAGCTGCTCTCAATTTCATCAGCCCGCTTGCCACGCCCAGCAGCAGCGGAAATCCGTTTAGCAATTAACCAAAAAAAAAAAAAAACGAAGGAGTTTAAAGAAGTCCTGAGCGTTTTAGAGAGGGGGGATCGGCAGCGAGAGGGGCACAACTCAAAGCTACTCGGATTACATGCATAAACATTTTGTGGGCGTTGTCCGCACACACACACACACACACGCACACACATTTGTTTGCTTTGGCAAATTAAAGAGTACCTGCGCCACACCCATTATCCAATGTGAATGAGTCGAATGGGCCGCATGAGTCTCTCATGAGCCACTCATTTCTTTCACCGCTTAATTGCTCAATGTTCGCCGTTTTATTGTCTTTTGTTCAGCGTTCTTTCTGCGAAACATTTGCCAAGCTATTTACACGGCGTAAAAAACAGTCCAAGAAATACCCACAAAAGGGAACACCACACACACACACACACACACAATATGCAGCACTTGCCACGCAATGTAACGCGAATTCTTGCTAAGCTAATCACCAAAAGTCAGAGTCAATGTGTTGTTGTTGCTTTTGTTGTTGTTGTTGTTGTTGATGACGACGTTTGCGCATGCGCCGGCCGCCTTCTCTTATCAAAGATTAAACATCGCACATATTTACCTTTTACGTGAAATTATTTAAAGAAAACAAAACCAGAAATGAAAATGAAACCAAGCAACACACACACACGCACGCACACACACATTTACACACAGACTAGAAACAAACAAACATTAACCGGGAATTGAACGAAATAAAATAAAAATTTGTGCCACAATTCCGGGAAATCGGGAATTCAAAGCGGCAATTTCGGGCGGAAGTTGAGAGCTCATTGCTCATAGCTGACACTCTCCATCGTCACCTGCCCGACAGTCAATCACAGTGGCATCAATCATCAGTCACATAGTCGTCAGTCTAGCCCAGACATCAAGTCAAGCCATGCAGACCTGAATCGTATCTATGAAGTAGAACTAGAATGAGAGAGTATATGATTAGAACAGATATCACCAGATCGATATATGTATAAGCTATATTATACTTAAAATAAGCTTTAATTTGAGTTTTATTCACTCTAAGGAAGGGGCTAAATATCATTGGATATAGTTGAGCTCAATAAAAAGGTCTTGCGAGCTTTTTCGAGTTAATATAATGGGTAATAGTTGGGCTTTAACAAAGTCCACTGCTGCTAATTTATTATTGGTAATTGGGTAATAGACTAAAATATACTTCATTCTCTGCCAGATATGAAAAATGAGCCCGAAATGTTATATGGCAATATAGGCTCTCTAAAGTAGGTCAAAGAAACTCTATTCGAATATCTAATTAATACTTAATGACGAATATTTTGCTATTCGTTTTATAAGTCTTTTTTGAGATTATTTAATATTAATTTCTAATTTAAATTGGCTTTGTTCAAACTATAAATATTTTATAAAAAACTGTTCGAATTTGGCAAATATTGTTAAAATTTAATATTTTAGGCAATTATTGTTGTTAATATATCTACTAGGGATTTTTCGCACTCTCAGAGAAGCATCCAAAGTTATAGTAACAACAATTGCAACAATTTCATTTGAGCTCTTTAAAAAAATATGTCATGTAATTCTCCTGGGAATACCAGAGAGTTGTGTACTCATATAATATATGAGTACAGGGCTACCTGACTGCGCTCATGTGTCATACATACGTACATATAGAGGGGCACACATAAATTCATGTATCTGTAGCTCTTGAGTTGTAGCGCAGGCACTTGAAAAATTATCTGCAACATGTAAATTCAATTTTCATTGTTCTTTATCTGTGATGGTCGCTCGAGCGGGCGAAACGGAGGCAGTTACTAAAAATAAAAATAAAAAAAAAGTCAAAAAATATGAAGAAATATATCTGTATATGAAAATAAAGTAAAGTTTTCTACAAGGGCCACTCGAGGAGTGGACGACTGCCGGTTGGCTGGTTGGGCTGTTGGCTTGTAGATGGGGCAAAGTGTTAAGTTGGAATTTATTGTTGAGCGTTTAATCTGTGTCAGTTTTGTGCGTCAGTTTGCAGCAGGCGGCACTCCGGTGCGGTGATAACTTGAAGTGTCATAATTGACCAGACTTTGGAAGACAAGTGCCATTATTCATAGGAAGGAATTTAACTGTTGCCCACGTCGCGATCACTTGAACAAGATTGAGATCTTGTCTTGTCTTGGGGGGTCGTGTCCAAGTGGAACACCCAGAAGGCAAACAAACAGCTCCAAGCTACACAAACAGTTGCTCATATTCCCCCCCTCTCTCTCTCTTACAGGCTGCCGTGAGACGGGCTTCATCTATGCCATCACCAGCGCGGCTGTGACCCATTCGATAGCCAGAGCCTGCAGCGAGGGCACCATCGAGTCCTGCACCTGCGACTACAGCCACCAGACGCGCTCACCGCAGGCCAATCACCAGGCTGGCAGCGTGGCCGGCGTCCGGGATTGGGAGTGGGGCGGCTGCTCCGACAACATTGGCTTCGGCTTCAAGTTCTCGCGCGAGTTCGTGGACACCGGCGAGCGCGGACGCAATCTGCGCGAAAAGATGAATCTGCACAACAACGAGGCGGGCCGTGCGGTAAGTAAACCAATCCTGTTATCGACTCCAATCGAATCAAGCGATCCTCCATTATATTTCTAATGCCTGTCGCGAGGCATCGCTTTGGTTGGCTCACAATTTACGACTTGCCTAATAAAAATCAACGAGTACTTTGCCGATTTCCGCCCCAATTGGCGACTCCGCTTGCTCTCCTCCCTCCTAGCTGCAGTCTGCTGTCCAGCGAGCGGGGAGCTTCAACAGCAGCCAGACCGGGATCGGGTACCGGGTACGGGGACTGTCTCTCAAGCACTCGTTTGCGCGCATGTAGCTCGTATATTAAAATCGTTGACAGCTTCCAGCTCCGTAGGAGAGCTACAAGAAGTAGTCCGCAGCTGCCGCAAGCAATTGCACAGTGGATGAAATTACTCATCAGATGATCATTTATCAATCAAGAGAGCTTTCCTAGCTAGATAAATAGATTTGATTTTACGGAGAAACTCTCCAAATCGCAGAGCAAACATTAGTTTCGATAAAGCTTTAGGCGTGTAATCGATTTATCGATCAGCTTAGGCACCTTCCAAGTTAATAATCTATTTTCAACTTTACTTATTTTCATCTATTTTCAACTTTACTTATTGGGAAACTAATAAGCTATCGATCATTGCTTATATCGATTTATTTTATTGGACATTTCAATGTTGAATAGGACCTACCGATTACATCCGATTTGCTGATATTCGTCAATCAGCCAACCTTCGACTGCCTCATTAGTCCACTAATTATTATCGATAACAATAACAATCGATTTACTTATCGATAGCTTATTTTATTTATTTATTTATTTATTTATTTATTAGTGGTCGACAAAACGAGTGTCTTCCTAATTATTCAATACATTATATTTACAATTATGAAATTTAGATGCTAAAAGCCTAGATAGAGAACACAAATTTCTAATAGCATCACCGACCGATGGAGGTGTTTTATTTGCCAGTCCGGCCAGCTGTACCCCTTTTCAAAGCTAATTTTGTCAGTGACGCTATTAGAGCCTACATCTAAGAAGAAGGGTGTAAGTAGGAAAAGTGCTCTTAAGAAAAATTAAAAATAATCTTAATTTGCTATATTATTTAAGAATATATCATAAATAGGAGAAAAGAAAGTAAAAATATTGTTAATAAAGTAAAGAACTGTATTATAAAGCTTCATCAATTTTTCCCTTCTCAATTCAGATCAACCTTAACTTATCGATAAATATATCGATATCGATTAACATTTCCTAACTCTCTGCCAAAATATTTAAATAACTTCCTCAACGAATTTAATTGTCCCTTTTCAAATCAGATCAACCTGAATTAAAGTGTCCCTTTTCAAATCAACTTTAACTTATCGATAAGTATATCGATATCGATTAAAATTTCCCAACTCCCTGCCAAAGTATTTAATTAATTTGCTCAATGACCACTGTACCGCTGAGCTATTGCCAGCTCCTCCTGTGCCGCCCAGTTGCTAGCTCCTCGCGGGGGCATAGAAAGTAGCACACTGAGCTCCAGAGCTACCAAAGCTCTAGTCTCAGTCCTGCGCTGGAGAGCCAAGATCTTTGGGGGCCACCATCTGTGTTATTATTTTATTACTTGTTATGGGCTACATCGATGATGATGATGATCATGTGCTGTGCTGTGCGCCTTGCTGGCTGCCAGGGCCCCCCAACTGCGTTGATTTCTTACTTTTGGTCAGGCCAATTACAAAAACAACTTCAGCAGCAGCAACAGCAGCAGCAGCAATAACATGCAACATGCGCACACAGCAAGTTGCAACAACATTTATTGATTTTTAATAACTGCAACAACGTGGCAGGCGGGCCGCCAATCGAAGCGAGCAAAAAACGGCAAAATAATTAAGTGAAAAAGATATTGGAGGCGCAGCAGCAGCAGCCTAATAAAGTCATACTAATGAATACCTCTCTCCCCCCTCTCCACTCTTCTCTCCACACTTGCAGCACGTTCAAGCGGAGATGCGTCAGGAGTGCAAATGCCACGGCATGTCCGGCTCGTGTACGGTAAAAACCTGCTGGATGCGTCTGGCCAATTTCCGTGTCATAGGCGACAATCTGAAGGCGCGCTTCGATGGCGCCACACGCGTCCAGGTCAGCAACAGTCTGCGGCAGAGCAGCAATGCCGTCGCCGTCGTCAGCCCCAATGCGGCGGGCTCCAATGGCGTTGTGGGTGGCGTCTCCGGCGGCGGCGGCAACGGGCTGCCAGCCTCGGTCAACGGCTACGACGACGAGGAGCGCATGCTCAACGACCACATGCCCGAGCTGCTGCTGGACAACAGCCATCCGAATAGCAAACAGCATCATCCCAATATGCCATCGCCCAACAGTCTGCCGGTGGCGGGCGCCAGAGCACGCGGACATGGACGCGGTCGCCAGGGTCGCAAACACAACAGGTAAGCAGCTGGCAATGCTCGAGCCAATTTTAACTAAAAGCAATTAGTCAAATATCAGTTAAATAAATTTATTATCTCAGCATAAACTAACCCAAGTTCTTTGTGTTATCTTCTTTGCAGATATCACTTCCAGCTGAATCCGCACAATCCGGAACACAAGCCGCCAGGTCCGAAGGACATTGTCTATTTGGAGCCCTCGCCCAGTTTCTGTGAGAAGAACCTAAGGCAGGGCATTTTGGGCACACACGGACGTCAGTGCAACGACACCTCGCTGGGCGTCGATGGTTGTGATCTGATGTGCTGTGGGCGTGGCTATCGGACGCAAGAGGTCGTCGTTGTCGAGCGCTGCGCCTGCACCTTCCACTGGTGCTGCGAGGTCAAGTGCAAGCTCTGTCGAACCAAGAAGATCATACACACGTGTCTGTAAGGGCCAACCCAATCCCGCCCCAAACTAGCCTGTCCCCAACCCCCCTCCCCTCCACCTTCCACTTTGTGTTATGTATTGTCTACGCTTAGCCTTTGTTATTAGAAGTTAAGAGCCTAGACTAAAGCCTAGTTAAAGTCCACGACCCGCCCTAATTCTTAGCTTACATAACAGCCTACTCTGACTTTTTAGCAGTATTACATACAATTACATATATATATCTATATCTATATATATATTTATATATATAGCAAGGATACGAGTTCATAGACACGACAAGAGAAAAGTGCACAACTTCGTTTTGCCCAGTTTTTAGTTCTATAAGCAATACGCAACCCTGGCAGCAAATTTTTTTTTGTAAATTACGTTTGCTGTTTTGTAGGCCCCGATATGAGTATATAGTATGTACATAAGTTAAGTCGTAGCTTAGACTTAGTTTTAACAATTTTAAAAGCGCGTTTAAGCCCCCCTTCCCCCTGCCCCCTTCCCTGACCTCTACCATTTCCGTTCCAACGAAAAAATTTTACGAAATCATTGAAAACAAGACTGAAATTCAATTGCGCGCAGCTGAAACTATCCCTCTCTCTCTCTATCTCTAACTCTCTCTTTGTATGTCTGTCACTCTCTAACAGCAACGATAATAACTGAAATCATTAGTGATTACTGTTGTTGTTTAGTTTAACAGCGACGTTGACGCTGGCAGCGCTGCTTGCATTCCGCTTTGCCCAGCTGCAAAACGCATGTTAAGCATACGCCGTGTGTACTCTACGTAACCAGGGCATGGGAAACGTTCATCGGAACGGAACCAGTTCGGCACTTGAACCGTGAACCAGCTCGAAACGTTTCTGCATGCCAGCGTATTTCATAAATATTGTGTACATAAATAAGTGTATTTAGTTTAATGAGTGTGTGTTTTTAGGTTAAGTTTTCGCTTGTAAGTAATTACAAAAAATGTACGCTAGATGGCGCCACACAAACAATTATTTTATTCTGTTATTTCTCCATGGAATTTATGAAATTTGCACAAAAGAAATTATATAATTTAACTATTTTTTGTACAACTGCCGCTACGAAATTACATATATCTATTATATATGTATGTTGCCCTTTCGGTTGTGCGTTCTAGGTATTACTAATAATTAATTAATTGGTAATTTAATAATTAACTAGCCGACTAATTCAAGTATTTTTAATTAATTTATATTAGCGCATAGACTACATACAATATTGTAAAGTATTAAAAAGATAAAGAGAAAAACAACAACAAATTGCAGCAAATGCAAGACACAAATCAATAAAACAACAAAACAACAAACAACAAAAATGAACAAAAATTTATACAACAACAATGTGGCATTTATTTTGTTGAGCAATTATTTGGTTCAAGTGTGCGGCAATTAGCCTGGGCTTGTGAGGAGTGCTGGGGGAGGGGGAGGCCGGAGGAGGCTGGGGGCTGGGGGCAACAAGGTGCATTGTCGCTTGGGTCAGGGCTGTGCGAGGTATTTCAATATTTGATTTAAGCAGCTCGGTGGCAGTTTCCCAAGCGCATTTTTTCTCTTGCTGCCTGTCAGCCTGGGCAGCAGCAACAACAACAACAACTGCAACAACAACAACAGAAACAACAACAAGTAACGAGCGAGCAACGACAGTTGCATCTTTTGTATAACGTCGGCGTCTCTTCTGCTGCTGCTGTTGCCCCTGACAATGCGAACGACAATTCCGCGCTGTCAGCGGCCAGCGCCGAACGGCTTTCAACTTTCAGCGACAATCAGCAGGTGGAGGAGGAGCAGCAGGAGCAGGAGACGGAGCCGGCAGATCTTGGACATGCAATTGCCGGGGCAACTATGCAACTGACAGCGACAGATCTAGACGAGGCGGCTGGAATCGGTATCGGAATCGGGGTACGATCTGGCCAGGCCTCAGCCCGTTCAGCCCGTTTACTCTCTGTTGCTGATGCTGGCTCGGCTTACATTGATCCTGATTCCAGCTACTGATCTGCCAGCCTCGAGTCGTATGTGCGCAAAAAGTGATCGTGCTACATGTGTCCACCTCAGTTGACAGTTTTGTTTCGCTCTTTGATACGCTGCTGCAATTCCCAATCATTAAACGGGTGGGAAACATAGTATATAAAAAACACAACCCGAAAACAAAACCAAAAACATCCGGAATGCAATCCTGTTGTGAGGAAGTCCACAAAGATTTCTGATTAGCGGCAACTGTTCGAATATCTTGACATTTTCAGCTATTTTTTAATTTGAATAACCTGAAAAATAACAAAATAAAGTTAATTAAATCAATTAAATTGTAAGTTCTTAAAGTATGAATAAATTACCCATTTTTTTTGGTTTGTTGAAAGGCAGCATAAAATAAATCAAATCAGTTACACAGATATATTGGATTAGATATTCTATAGTTTAAAAGCAAACTACATCATTTCTTGGCACCAAAATTGAGTAACAATAATCTTCGATATAACACCGAAAATGTAATCAATATTTTATCAAGTGATTAGTTTTAAGTTTGGCCAATTTTTCAACAAAAAAAAAAACATCGCATTAAAAATATAATTTAATTTATTTCTGGAGTTGAAATTGATACGTTTTATAAAAAGATAAAGCAGAGCATTTTTTATAGATAATTGCAGCAACCGCCAAAAATCCGAAACTATTTTGAAGGAGATTCTGTATAACATGTACATGATGGAATACTTTAATTTTCTATCGAAAAGAAGTCTAGAAAATTAATATAACACTTGCAAAACATTTTTAACGGAAACGCTCGAGCTTACGATTGGGTATTGTCTTACTTAACCAAAAAATTACTACAGATAATGTCAAATATTTGTACTTATATTATATGTCTTTATATAACAAGTAAGTCTCTATCTAACAAACTAATGAGAGCAAAAAAAATAACACTATATTCAAAGTAATATGCAAAAATAAGTAAAACTTATTTTTAAAAAAGTAGGTCAAAAATTCGATTTTTATCGAACTATCCAAAATTGGAAATACATTTTATTTACACATGTGGAATAGAGGAAATCTACATTCCCAATTTGAAAAGTCAACTTCTTATAGATAGTATAGTGTATTAACTTATCATCGATGCTATGTACTGATTTTATATGCTTTATAAAGCAATTTCTTCTGTTGTCTCCAGCAAACATTTGCACAACTGCAACATACCCTTTCACCCAAATTCAATAAGTACAGGGTATACAAACTGCACCATTAAACTATTTTAGATTGAAAGAGCTCGCCTCAGAGCTAGAATTGTGATTGTTTTCATTGGAATAACTCAAATGAATAAAGAAGTAAGAAAATATAACTACAACTATAATGTGCTAATTGGAAAAAGTAAAGACTATAGTAAAAAACCGTGCCGTAGCAGAGGCATCGCTGGTCTTCGGTTAAGACATTGCTAAATCCATACAATAGACAGAGGCTCGAAGCCGGATACTCGTTGTTTGGCTCACAAAGACAACAATTGAGAGCTGCAAATATTTAAACAAAACTTTTACTATTCAGAGAAGGCCAATCAATTAATTTGAAAAACCTTTTTCTAATGTTTGGCTAGAACTCGTCTTCCCCCCAAAGAGCCTCCCACACATTATGCCACTTGTGATTAGAGAACAGCTTCAAATGCTTGGCAAATGATTCACCGACTAAAGCCCATAACAATGGCTCACACACACACACACACACACACACACACACACATACACACGCACATTGGGCAGCTGAGGTGTTGTTGTTAGGCATTACGAATGGCAATAGCGATAGGATGACTATTACCCATTCTAGCCCCACGGGGCACATACTAAGCCAGGCTGTAGACGAGGCATTGTCTGTTGTGGCAAGCGCGGATGTCGCAAATATGGCACAGCGAGGCGACAATTGTTGTCTCCAAAGAGTCGTCTGCGACGTCGCGGTCTGACATTGCTCCTAATCAATAAAACTAACGAGCGGATTAAGATTATGTTGCACTCAGTGGGCCCACAGAGGCGGCCAAAAGCGGCGCACGCGCATCCCAAAATGGTCTGGCGGCCTAATGAATTGCAACTGGCAACTCGCAACTGGCAACTGGCAACTGGCAGCGTGCAACGTGCAGCGTGCAACGTGCAACGAAATCAAAATGCAGCCAACTCATCTCTGGCTGCCGCTGCTTGCTGGATGTGACAATGACAGTTGTTGTTCGTCATGTTTGGAGCATGTAGCTCCACTCCACTCCACTCGACTCGACTGGAGTCGCCTCGAGTCGCCTCTTTGTGTTGTAATTGCAGACGCCACACGTTTGCGCCGCTGTTTGATTTGGCAAATGCAACGGTTCGACATGGATATCGAGCCACGGTCAGCTCCAAGATCTTTTCCGATCACTTGTCATGCAGCTCACGCGCCAGAGCTGGCATGACAAAACTTTCAGCCCAGCCACTGGCTGCTCCACTCTCTACCCCTTTCCACCCCTCCTCTTGTGCCTGTACGGTGGCCGGCAAAAAGGGCCGAAATATTTTCGACACATTGGATGCTGGAGCTGTAGTTCGGTGTTAATTAAGTGGCAATTGTTATGCTCGAGGCGTGAACCGTGAGAATTTAATGGATTAGACAAATAGTCAGCTTTTGCTAGCCCCCACAAAACCAGGGCCCACAGCCTACAGCACCAGCTCCGGGCATGCCTACGGCTATCAATCATCAGAGGCTTTGGCTGTAGCTGCTGCGGCTGCTGCTGCTGCTGTTAACTGTTTACAACTGGCGACAAGTTGAACTACCAGGAAGCAATGACCAAGCAGAGACCACCAGGCGAGAGACGCAAAGACCCTCAGAGACTAGACCAGACGAACAGACAGTCGGCCAGCCAGTTGGTCGGTCCGACCTGGCCATGTAATTAACAGCACGCAAAAAGTGTTGGCAACACATACATGGACATTGGCACATCCAATGGGGCACATATCCACATTGGATGCCACGGCGACACGCATGTAAACATTACCATTTTTGGCTAAAGACGCGACAGCTGCCCAGGGCTGACCAGGGCTGAGCGGGGTGGGGTGTACGCAGACAGCTAGCTGGGTGGCCGCAGCTCATAATTGAGTTACAATCGAGTTCAAAGTCAAATCGAACCAAGTGCTCAACTTTCATTTATGTCTCTTATGCCTAATTAGCTTTAGTTTTTGTTTAACCTTTTCTTTTTATATATAAAGCACTTCTTTTATGTATTTTTACTTTTTCACTCTTTTGTTTTCTTTTTTTTGAGCATTTCTTGTGGCCGCGTAAAAAGGTTTCCCATCATTTGGCTTCCATTATGCAGCGTTCGCGGCCACCGAATTCCAAAGGTGCGTCGGGCTTGCCCATCGTCTTGTCGGGCAGCGAGGGGGGTCGGCCAGCGCCTGGGTGCCCACTACAAAATTCACAACACATCGGGCCAAAACGGATGCGAACATTTTCAGTTGTTGTTGCTGCTGTTGTTGTTGTTGTTGCTGTTCATTCAGCGCGCCTTTTGCAAGCAGCGGATGAGAGAATGAGGCTTTCGACTGCTCAGCGATCATCTCATCGGGGCGCTTTTGTCCTCCGTCCTCTGTCCTCTGGATACATCGACATCAACGCCGTCCTTTGTTTGCTGGCCCTTTAAGTGAACACGTTTTCTCCCCTCCCTTGGCGCACTCTCACTTGGCCTCAGCCAGAGGAGACAGCGAGATGCGGGGAGTTGGACTTAAGATTTTTTTCGGCCTGTGCGCCAACTTTGTTTAACTTTGCTTTATTGTCTGTTGTTGGCCTTGCCAAAAAAAAACTATAATAATAAAATAAAATAACAAATACAATAAAACAAGGAGCAAACATTCAAGACCAGGGGTCAATTATGGTTTCCTACTGACATTTAATGGGAGAATTGAAAGTTGAGCGAAAATGGAAGAGAAATGTTGCCAACTGGAGTTGCTTCCTAGTTTTAAAACGAGCATATTAATCAAAATGCTTTCACTGCTCAGAGTTGAGCTAGCTTAGCGAAATCAATATCTACATATCTAGACCTTGTAATTAATCGTAGTCGCAAACTCTACCGAGACTTTTGACGTAGTCTATTTGTTATATTTTTTTTAATGTATGCTTTCAGCAAAGTTTGTGCTCTATTGATTTGGCAAATAACAAGTTCAAAATTTAATTTAAATACATTTTTTTCGTGGAAGAAATTTATCTGGCGCAGCCAACTTAACTAGATAGATAGATACTAAGCGCTGCCAGATCGCTAGAAATTTTAACTTATTCAGCTCAAGTAACATTTGTATTGAAAGGAATAT